GCAACGCAGCCATAAACCATTCTTGCGTTAGCTCAGAGTAAAATTTTATTGTACCCTATAACAGACACAAAAAAACATAAAACATGTATTTTTAGATAAAACATATGTTGAAGAAACTCCAAGGACGTATTGTTATTTATACAGGCGCGGATCAGGGGGGGGGGGGTGTCAATTCTACTGGTATTAATATACGCCTGTGCACAAAATATGTACAGAGTAATGATGCGCAAACCCGACCCGAAACCGAAACCGACCCGACACGAAACCGACTTCGGGTCGGGTCGGGTCGGATCGGTTTGTCCATCTTTTCAGTCGGGTTGGGTCGGTTTCGGTTTTGCATTTACATTTTCGGGTTGGGTCGGGTGGGTTTAGCCGTCTTTTGAAAAAAAAAAGCCGAAATGATGCGACAATAGAATTTTTTGTTCTGCCCTGCGGAACCATCAGCGAAAAGAGCAACCTCTTCAAAGCCACGTCTGTCTGAATCTAAGAGAAAATCGTTCACATAGGATGTTATTTCGTTTAGAGCCACGTCCAGCTATACCTTCATGCCATAAGCAGCCTAACAGTGTTTTAACCTTGTCAAAACGAAAACCGTTCGCGTCAAGTGTTACTTCGTGAAACCAAAATTTGTCAGTATCGGTTTTCACGAAGTAACACTGGAGTGAACTAGGGTATTACTTCGTGGTGTCGGTGACGGTATTGTATAGAGATTCCTCTAGAGCATTGAATATGTAGCGAAACTACAGACAAAGAAACGCGGGTCGTTCTATAAATAGGGGTCCGTTTTTTTTCCTGTCCCTGTTACACGTGACATCTATGATTTTATAATTCTGATGCATTCCTTAATTAATGCAGTCATCCTCGAAGACTATGACAAGCAAACTACCAACCCAACATAGTTATATATAATTGTTTGAAGTCATTCTTAATTAATGATACTTGAATGGTAAATTACAAAGTACCAAGGTAACAGGGACAGGAAATATGTACCCTTGGACCCTAAATTTATAGAATGACTCATCGCGCGCATTCGGTGACCGCCGGACGGGTGCCTTTGTACCGGCTCGGGCCGGCCAGCAAATGTGGAGAGGACCGTTTTCGAACGTCAATGAACTGAGCAGAAACCGCACAGTAGGAGTGGAGGCCTGGGGCTCAGAAACCAAAAAAGGGCGGTTGACAAAACTCCAAGAAACCCAATCTCCGACCGGCGGGCACCGATCCCACTCCCGCCTGGAAACGCGCCGCGGGCACCGCCGAGGCCTTGGGGAAAAAGCGAGGCTCAAACCAACCCGTGCCGTGGGTTTGAACATGAGGGCAAGCACGCAGTTGAAACAGCCCAAGAGCTGGCTGGCCGTACGGCAGCGAAAGGCCGAAGATGCATGGGATCATAGTCCAGGCAATATAAGGTTTGACCTCAAACAAATTGTGCATTCTTTAAGGTCCCTAAAATGACATACTAAAAGTCCAAAAAAATCCAAGTGGTGGAAATATGCCTAATTTGCATAAATCCAAAATTGCCGCATATTTAAGGACTTTCACAATGATTTGGTCATATTTCTCATACTATTAGCTTCTTGAGGAACTTTAAACAACAATTTTAGTCCTTTTACATTGATTTCATCATTATTCTAGTCCTAGGTAAATTTCAAGATCCCTATGTTTCCCAAATTTGCCAAATGCGGTATAATAATTTGCATAAATGCCGAATATTAATTTGCATAAATTAAAGTGAAAATTATTGCTGTCATGTGTTGACATCACAATTGAATTTTTTCCTAATAACTTCCAGTTCAGTTACATGTATGTATACATAAATATCACACCACAGATCATCTTTATATGGTCTCGAAAAAAAAGTACAAAAAATTTCAAGTGGTGGAAATATGCTTAATTTGCATAAATTCAAAATAGCCACTAATTATATGATTTTCATATTGATTTGGCCATAACTCTCGTCCTACATTGCTTTTTGGGGTACTTTAAACAACAATTTGTCCTTTAACATTGATTTCATCATTTTTATAGTCCTGGGTACCCTTCTAGATCCCTATGTTTCCCAACTTTGCCAAATGCCGTATAATAATTTGCATAAATGCCGTATATTAATTTGCATATAAATTAAAATTAAAATTATGGCTGTCATGTGTGGATATGCCACAATTGAATTTTCCCAAATAACTTCTAGTTCAGTTATGTATCACACCACAGATCATCTTTATATGGTCCCGAAAAAAAAGTAAAAAATAAATCCAAGTGGTGGAAATATGCCTAATTTGCATAAATTCAAAATGGCCACTAATTATATGATTTTCATACTGATTTGGCCATAACTCTCGTCCTACATTACTTTTTGGGGTACTTTAAACAACAATTTGTCCTTTTACGTTGATTTCATCATTATTCTAGTCCTGGGTACCTTTCGAGATCCCTATCTTTCCCAACTTTGCCAAATGCCGTATAATAATTTGCATAAATGCCTTATATTAATTTGCATAAATTCAAATAAAGTAAGGAAAAGTTGAAGTTACAGCACAATTAGGACCCATGTTGGGACTTAGGCCATGGAAAATGGGTTGCGGGGTGACTATTCATCAGGTTTTGCACTTTTATTGAGTCTGATTTAAAAGAGGCGCAAGATACATATTGAGTAATCTTCATCCAAGAACAGAATGACAAAGTTAAATACTAATTCTTAACAACTAAAAAGGAACAAGTAGCAAGTCAATTAAATAAAAACACAATCATAGTTAAAGTTGCAATTATTTAAGTGGTTCTCGCTAAATCACTTAACAATATCAGTTTCGAATATGCAACTCAAAATACAAAATACGGAATAGTAAATGAAATGAAAGCGTAGCTTAACTTCTTATCATATATGATTACTGTGAAGGGAGAAAACAATTGTACTTTTCCTGATAATCCAAGTTCAGTTATGAATACAGAAATATCACAAAGATTCATAGGTGCGGCCTATCATCCATATTGGCTTGCATGCAATGTTAGTCTGATTGTTATCATCTACACGTACATCATTGTATCTTAGAATGAACACTTATGTGGCAGACTATAATCTTCAGCAGCCTTAGGATCAATGTCTGGTGGTGGCGAGTTGGCACAACTAGTAAACTATTTGCACCGCCATGCACATCTCGGTCTCCTGTCTCGTTGAGGCTTAGATATGGGTGGAAACGATTCGAGAGTAGAAACCGAGATGAGGATTCCTCATAGACCGAAAAGGGGTGGGTGGGCGGGGAATCAAAACAGACAAAGTCATACTTACAACCGTAGTGCCGACTGCACTTACCGCACCGAACAGTCAACCATCCTCTCCCATCTCGCCAGAATCGCGACTGACATTGAGTCAGTCGCCCTCTACGTTCACAGCGGTGCAAATAGTAAACTATTTGCACCGCCATGCACATCTCGGTCTCCTGTCTCGTTGAGGCTTAGATATGGGTGGAAACGATTCTTCGCTCCGTCACAGAACTTGGCCCCTTTTCCGAACTCAACCCCCCTAAACTTCCCATCTCTCACCCCAAATCTCAAAGGAGAGGCTCCCCCCCCCCCTTTTTTTCTTTTTTCTTTTTGGTTTCTGTTTAAAGCAAATTCCCGCGTTTGCATAGTCCAATGATCCCGTGCGTACTGACGTCGCTCCTCACCTGTCCTTCCCTATTTCCTTGCGCCTGATACTCCCACCCCTGAAGCTGCTATGGTTTGCTGCCCTCCGCTCCGAACGCAACCTCTAACCCGAAACCGGAGTTGAGCGTTCGGTAAAACTCCCCAGCAAGGTCGGCCGCATGGGGATGGTTATGCTCGCCGGTGTCCAACGCGTCCTTTAGCATCTTCACAGTCGTATTGCGTCTGGTAACCCTTTCAACTTCCGTATAGTGCTTATACGTGCGCCGAGTTGCCCAACGACAGTGGTCCATAACCTGCTGCTCGGTAGCACCCAGCAGACGGAGGGTCGTTGCAACACCTGCTCTACCCCCGTGGGGCCTCAGGGAGGCATCCGAGGTATCTGATGATGCGGAAAAATATAGCTGAAGACGCTTACTTGGACCATTACCGATGAAGGGCTTGTTGACCAGGCTCTGGTGATTTGGTGCTGTGGGACGAAATAGGTAGCCGTCCATTAGGCAAAAGCCATTCTGCTCTGCAAAGCCCACAATCCCGTCGACTGCCCCAGCTGGATCCAACTCCCCGTTACTTAGCTTGGGTATGATTATAAGAGAGGAGGTGCCCTCTCTGACCGTCTTGCCGACTGTATGATTAAATAACAAGTCACCACCTTCAATCCTGGTTATTTCGCACGTTTTTGTACGTCCTAGATCCGAGGACCGTTCCCCTGCCCACCACAGGCACAAGAAGAATGCCAGATCCCTATAGAAAATATATTGCTGCGTGAGACCTTTCCTGCCAGCCTCCTGCATGAGGGACATTCTTCTCCTGATCTCTTGAGCCAACCAGCGAATCTTATCGGAGAATATTGGGACCGCCTGTTGGGGAGTCACATGTGCCTCTGCCTGCTCAAGCTTTACTGCCTTCATGTATTTCTTCACCCGGTGGGAGATGCATGGATTTGATGACAGCTGGCCTTGCCGCCATGATTGCGTTTTACCGCAGGAGTTAAAAAATGCTCGGAGTTGGCCGACGTAGGCGTCTACCGTGCCCGCTGCCAGATGTCGATCGCAGCAACAGTCGAACGCACCGTGCTTTCCCAAATGTTTGCACCCGAGTGAATGAACTTGAGTGCGGCCCCTCGTATCGCGGTCCACCAAAAACTTGACTATGTCGTCGGGGGTGACCATGTCCAGATCTGCACTATCTGTGAAATAACCTGAGCCCTGGTTCTGCTTGAGGAAATCAGCAAAATTGTTAACTAAGCTGCTCTTCTGTCTGTTGTAAGGTAACGAATCGACCTTGCCATCAAGCTCCTTCATTCTGGACTCCCATCGGGCCAACTGGATTATGAAAGAAGACAAAATAAGATTGAAAGCCTGATGTCTAATTGCCCAGCTCTATGTCGACCCCCGTTCGCAAACCGAGAAGACACCTTAGAAACCTCTGCAGACGCCTATGCAGTCTCAAACTGCCCCACAGTGTCAAATGGACTTCGTCTGCGAGGTCATGCTGAGTTATGTGGTCATTTGAGAGGAAGTGCCAACCCGCTTCCTGGCAAGCCTCCTTCAGTGCCGAATTTGCAGTGGCAACGGAACAGTTGACCCTGCTGCTCTTTGTCTGGCATATTCCCGACAGGACAAACCGGACCGTTGGATTCTGTACACATAACTGTTTTGCCGCCAAGGCAAAGACCCTCAACAGCCGCTTGACCCCAGCTGAGCAATCTGCACTCCTGCTAAAATCGTTAATGCCCCCATGAAGGACTGCGACCTCAGGCATCTGAACCTTGCTCATCGAAGCTAGCGATCTGCATAATGTCTCCATCCGAGCTCCTCCGGAAACCACCAGCCTAATGCTCAAGGAAGCCGGCCACCCAAAGCTGCCCATTCCTCTGAACATGGAGTCAGAGACTACGAGCACTGAATGCTGTTGCGGAATATGGACTCCTCTGGAAACCCGGGCATCAGCGGGGAAGTAACATCTGAGACCCCAAAGCTCAAACGGGAGACCCACGGTATTTTTAACATAGCCTTCACCCGTTGGGTACTCGAGAACCCCGACCTGCCCTGCTTCCGATATGCGCAGAGACTGCTGAGCAAAGGATTTCAGGTATGGCCACCATGACCTTGGGTGCGGGTGTTTGGGAACCACCAGCGTTACGACCACGTCACCCCATTCAAGAAACAACTTGATGAGAGAGGGCACAAGAACAAAAGGTGGGAACACGTACAACTCCTCGCCACGAGGGCATTGCTGGGAAAATACGTTAACACCAGATGTGCTAGGAACTGGAAACCTCGAGAAGAACTTCAAAGGACGGCCGTCCCGGCCCTGGGGAACGTTTGAAGGAAGCGCCATGAGATCCCATGAAAAACCGAATCTTCCTCCGAGCTCTGCTTGGAGCAACAACCAGAGACACTTTGTGAGTCGAGCGTCAGCCTTGGATAGCTCCCGCGATGGTAGGTCGGCCCGATTTATTCCTGACGGAACCCACTGCAACTTCAAGTCGAAATTTGCCTCCAACGTGAGAGCAAAGATGAGTTTCAGAATTCTGGCCAGTGCCTGTGACTTTGCCTTTTGCCGTGCCCATGCAGCATACAAACTCTGCGAGTCCACCTTCACATCCACTCTTTTATCCCAAAGCATATCTACCACTGATAGCAGGACAAGATATAGGGCCAGAGCCTCTTTGTAGCAAACATCCGTCATGGCTTTGACGCTCGGCGGCCAATAGTCACCAAAGGTAACATCTCCATCCGGAAGCTCCAACACACCGCCCCATTTGTACCCGGATGCATCAGAGCTGAGCTGAATTGTCAAATGGCGCTGATCTCTCCAAGGGATGGGTTCGGAGAAGGAATCCACGAAACGCCAAAAGAGAACCTCGTCTCGCACGTCTTGGGAAATCGGCCTCGAACTGACGTCGTCTAAGTTGGGTAAAAATGCACAACACTCCCTCACAAACAATGAGGCCGCCGGAAACACCAAGGCGAAACTCTGGCACTTTCCGATAAACCGCTGGAGGGTCTTTAGGAACACCGAGCCCGTGGATAAAATCTCCTCTCTTACTTGAGCAAAAGCACACTTCTTTCTCTCCGGAATCCAAAAGGATAAGGACTTTGAGCATATCCCAAGACCCAGGTGGACCATTGTGGACACCGGCTCAAGCTGACTTTTCTTGAGATTGATGAAATACCCCAATTTCGACTGCATATAGCATACCACGTATAAAGCTCTCGCAGCCCTGATGTAGGCGTCATCTGCGATAAACCCGCTGGAGCCCTGCAAAGAAAATATATATACAGCACTTAACATCTGGGCTGTCCCTCTCCTCCGGCTTCTCCAATGAAGCGGTCATCGATCCAAATTTCTGTATGAATTCCCCGATTTTTCAACCATGTTGACAAACAGAACCCAATGGTGGAGTATACATAAGCGCTATTCTTGAATCCGAAAGGAAGAGTTGTGTCAACAAAATAAAATCCAGCCCACTCGAAACCACAAAAGGTCTTTGACCTTTCAGATAGCAGAACCTGCTTATAACCTTGTGCATCGTCGGTACCGGAGAATCTACCTCCCTTATTGACTGACTTCACAATCTCCCCCAGAGGCACCAAATTGAATGGCGTGTCCTTACACCAGAGGTTGGGACCTTTCATTGATAGGACTAGTCTTGGCTTGTTTGGTTCGATAGAGAGAGCGTTGATGCACCTAGGCGGGTCGACTTCATCCACCTTGCCCAACAATTCCACGGAACCTTCTATAATGCGCTTCGCTATCGTTTCATTGATAAATGGTACGAAACGTTCGCAAATAGGCGCGTTTGGAAAATACATGGCTGGAGGGACACTGGAGTTGAATTCCCTTCCTCTATAGCTACCCTGGAAAGGTTGAAAGAACTCATAGAGGTCCAATTTCTCACGGAGCCATCTCCGAACTTGCGGGCCGTTGGCCGGGCATTCTTTCAATACATCTTCCCATAACTCTGGTTGATCATGCAGACCTCCCGCTACAAACATATTTGGGTCACGGAAGCGGAGCGCATCAAAGTTTGGCACACTTTCTCCGGATAAAACATCTGCCGGACTCGGGGCGGATCCATCTGGAAATGAGGCAGCCTTTCCCGCTATGTCCACCCAAGAGCAAACACCCCTCTCGCGCCTGTTTGTCTGAGCGCCTTCAGGATCAAAGAGATGCGCCGACGAACGCTCCCACTTATGCTTCCCGAGAATCTGCAGATACCTCTTGTATTCCTAAATTGAATCATAAAGAGCACTAGGCCTAAACTCGGGCACTGGGGTTATACAATCATTGTAACATTTTCAAGCCGACCATACAGTCGTTTCATAATTTATTTCTTGCAAGTATAGATACAATGTCAAACATGGTAAACTCGATACATCAAATATCGCAACACTTTCCCTACTGGGAAAAGTACCATCTGAAACCCTCTGAAACCCCGTTTCCTGCATTCAGCTCTTGCATCAACTTATCCCCCATTGAGGCCCTTGCATACGCCCACGCATACGCCCATTATAACATGCAAATGCCGTCCCTGAGCCGACAGCTACCTAACAAGTACTTATTAAAACATAATTCCGTAAATAACATCATATCACTGCTACAAACTTAAATGCTCAAAATGAAGAAGTATATTAAGATTACTCGACTACATCCCACCACCAAAGTCTCTTTGACCGTGAAATGAGTCGCCAGCATGTCAAACATGCCTCTAAACTATTTCTTTGCAGTCCCGTGCATAGTGGCCCTTCCTGCGGCATCTGAAGCACACGTCTCTCTCCCTAGGCCCTCGTGAAAATTGGCCCTGACGAGGCTGACGAAGATCTCCCCTGAAGCGCAGCGGTTGTCTAGCGGGCCTATTCAAGAAACCTTGACTGGCTGATGATTGAGCTTTTAACTCAGATGGGGGCGCGCTGAGGCCCAGGTGCTTTCTGGAAAAGCGCAGCCGCTTATCGGAGTCTTCTCCTGTAATGGACTTGTATATATACATTGCTATGCCCGGTGTCTTGGCCTGAACGTGCTTTGTACAATCTGACAACAGATTGACGTACAACTGCTGTTCCTTCATATCTTCTGTTGACAAAGGTGCAAACTCGTCGACATAGCTTCTGAGCAGAGACATCACATACGCTACGTTTCGATCGTAGCCCGTCTCCAAACATGCTTTAAGCAACTCGAGCCGCCTAGGCTTGTGCACCTCAAGCGCAGACTTGGCCTGCATTGATTGTTAAAACATAAAACCAAGCTGCATTTAGTTGATCACTATATAAAGGGGACGCATTGTAAGCATGGACATCCTCTCAACTCTTTTGTATCGAGTTGACACAGACTTTGTACTCAACACGCCCTAGTGCCCGTTATGACATCCCAACATCATGTGCCAGGATGCCATGGGGCCGCTAACGAGATCGTTTACCTCCAACTCAAACATGGAGAACGCATCCACATTATTGTAAAATGGCTCAACTATAGGAGCCGATGGCTCCAGCCAAATTACACCTCTTGTGTCCATACAATAACAAATCTGACAGATTTCCACCCCCATGCGGTTTGCATGGTGGGAAACTGCATTTAGGAAGACCTACTTCCATGCACCCTCGATTTTTTTTTTTTTTTTTTTTTTTTTTAGGGGGGGGGGGGGTGGGTGGCACCCCTTCCTTTAAACGAGGACAAATAAAGAATGGGCAAAACCCTGCAATGGGACCTGAGGAACAAATGGACACAAGCCAAAAGAAAATTGGAGTGGCGGGGCACCATCCCCGCCCTTCCAAAATTTTAGGTAATTAAGGCACAAATAAGGGCGTCGTGCACGCAACCCGCACAACAAAATACCAGAACCAGAACCGGCAAGAACCCCATTTTTTTTTTTTTTTTTTTTTTAGACAGAAAAAAAACCCCCATCTTCTCCTGAAAAATCATTTTGCCTAAAGCACTTCCTTTCACGGAGGTATAATCTGTTATGATGCACCTCCCCCACATAAACGTCTTAGCTCAGGACATTTTTTACTTTGTTAAAGTACAATCTCATGGTACATACATTTTGTAAAACGCACTTCTACTTAATATCATACCGGGGCCTTTCCCCTCCAAGGCTTCAACCACATTCCCAAAAGGACAATCCCCTCCGTAAATTCAAAGGCTGCCCGCTCGTCCAAAAGTAATGCATGATCATGTATGGGACCCACCCATTCAGGCAAATAGAATCGCGCGTACCAGCATTTTGCTGCATAAGTGGCGCATGCAGTTCATTTCTCTAAGGGGTACCCACCCTTACCACGACAATTTGGCCTGGGATACATTAAACACATCAAAATACAATAAATGCAAATACAAGACGCTGGGGTTCATAGTACTACATGTACCCCTTTTGAAGCGAATACAATCATTTTGATATTGGGTATCTCTCACAATAAAATGCTGCGGGTCACTCTCCCACGGGGCACTTCCCCTTCATACGCAAATGCAGCTTGGCACGCACGGGGTTTTTCCCCGGAAATCAAATATGCAATTTCGCACGGGGCACTCCCCTCCATTGTTATGAAATGCAATCCCGCATGGGGGAAGTCTCCTTCATATTATGTGAAACATAATGGCACGGGGTTTTCCTATAAAATCCAAATTCACTCTCGCACTACCCCCTTATATGCAAATACAGCCTGGCGCGGGGTTTTTCCCCTGAAATCAACATGCAAATTCGCCCGGCCCGGGGCACTAAATACAATCTCGTAAGGCACGGGGCATACCCCTTCACATACAAAAAACCGCTTAGCATTGGGGTTTTCCCCTGAAATCAAACTGCCATCTCGCACGGGGCACTTCCCCTTCATATACAAAAACAGCTTTTCACGGGGGTTTTCCCCTGAAATCAAACTGCCATCTCGCACGGGGCACTTCCCCTTCATATACAAAAACAGCTTTTCACGGGGGTTTTCCCCTGAAATCAAACTGCCATCTCGCACGGGGCACTTCCCCCTGCATATATACAAACAGCTTAGCACGAGGAGTTTCCCCTGAAATCAAATGCAATCTCACACGGGGCCTACCCCTAACATACAAAAACAGCTTAGCACGGGGTTTTTTCCCCCTGAAATCAGAATGCAATCTCGCAGGGGCCCTTCTCCTTCATATGCAAAACAGCTTTGCACGGGGGTTATTCCCCTGAAATCAAACTGCTATCTCGCACGGGGCACTTCCCCTTCATATACAAAAAACAGCTTAGCACGGGTTTTTTTCCCTGAAATCAAACTGCCATCTCGCACGGGGCATTTCCCCTGCATACATGTATATACAAACACAACTTAGCACGGGGAGTTTCCCCTGAAATCAAATGTAATCTTGCACGGGGCCCTACCCCTTCATATTCAAAATCAGCTTCGCACGGGGGTTTTCCCTGAAATCAAATGCAATCTCACCCGGGGCAATTTTCCCATAATGCCTGTACTATGTAAGTATAAATCTGCAAAGGGGTTTCCCCCTAAAATCAAAGTACAACCTCGCGCCGGGGCACTTTCCCTACCTGTACCCACATACAATTTGGCACGGGGCGCTTCCCCTGAAATCAACATACAATGTCACGCCGGGGCACTTCCCCTGCCTAGCTGTTATGCCGACAAAGTTCGGCACGGGGCGCTTCCCCTGAAATCAACATACAAACTCATCACGCCGGGGCACTTCCCCTGCCTAACTATTATGCCGATAAAGTTCGGCACGGGGCGCTTCCCCTGAAATCAACATACAATCTCGCGCCGGGGCACTTCCCCTGCCTATGCCGATAAAGTTGGCACAGAGTGCTCCCGCTGAAATCTTTGTCGAGGGCAAACTCCTTTATCAAAATGAAATTTGCCAAGGAAACGGCTCCCCCTTTTTAATTTTTTTTTTTTTTTTTTTTTTTGCCGCCTCCCACTTACGACAAATTTCGATCTCTAGCCGGGCGCACTCTGCCTGAAAATGCAATAAACGCAGGGCACTCCCCTGCCTGATGAAACCGGACAATCTCGCCCTCCTGCGTGCTTGGTATATTTTAGTCAGGGCACTTCCCAAATGGCAAAGAGAAAATACAGCATGTAGGGTATGAAATATTGTTACAAAATGATGAATATTCCCCACTAACATTTCCATGAGACATACCTGAGAGGACGTCGAACCGGATCCCTGGTTGGCAGCCGCTGCAACCTGACTCGGCCCTGCCTCCACGGTGGAAATACCACTCGGACCCGCTTTGTCCTTCCCGTCGTCAGAGGATGCGCTGGGCTGCACCCGACGTTTCTTGGGGGCGGGGCCGCTGAGAGGCCCGGCTTCCACCCGGTCAAAGAGCTTCTCCACGTTACGCTTCTGCCCTCCGTTAGGGGCCAGGGCAAGGATGTGGTCTCGCCACTCGGGGACAAATCCTGGAATTGTTCTGGGTCATCCCAACCGTCTGCGATGAGAGCCTCGAAGTACTTCTTCGAGATCTTAAATGTGGCACACAGCCCGCGGAAAAGAGGGCCGGCACCCTCATTGGCGATTTCCGCATAAGCTCCTGCGTTCTCCTCGACTTGATCGAACATATTCTCCATTATCGCAAAGATAGGACGTTAAAACCGTTCAAAATTTAGGTTATAGGAAAGCACGGGGAACGCAATCGAATTTAAACTACAAGCTAGAGCACACCCTGATACGCAAAGCCATGAAGTGCTGAGCACTGATGCATAAAGTTCTTCTCGGCTTAACACAAAGCCCCACCTCGAGTATCCCAACGAATTCCATGGATTCGTCACGCATAAATACTCGGATTTGCATAACACTACCCTAGCACAATGCCAGCAAAGCGGAACCTGACTTTGCCCAGAAATCTTTGCGACAAACACAAAGAGCATTCCTAAAACGGGTATACGGGCCTCAACGGAAGCGAGACCCCACCTAATGCAATCCCAAACCTTCGTTATATTTCCAATGCAAAACAAAACCTTACAACGTGGAGAGCTAACCTCTCTCATCCTCTACCGTATATCAAACCTGCTATGAGCATTTTCCACTTCTCATATTAATCTTCGGATATTCCCCAACCCGATGGTACCGGGTTTAAAGGTCTTGAGCCTCGAGCAAAACACGTCCAGCTGCGAGCCGCCAGAATCGCGACTGACATTGAGTCAGTCGCCCTCTACGTTCACAGCGGTGCAAATAGTGCCACGGTTTTCAGTGCAAGCAGTTGAACAAGAGAGACCATACTTTCGGCACGTGCAGTTTCTATTCGTACAAGTCTTTCTAGCGTTCTTTCGTTTTTGGACGGTTAGTCATGACGGTTGTCATGACAGCTCGTCGTAACAGTCGTCCTGTCCAATCACATTCCTCGCTGAAACGAAGGGGCGTGATCAATGGAACTTGGCCGATCAATTGGCTCCTCTGTACGGTAACCTTTGTCATCCTAATATAAGACTTTAGAATGCAACAACAATGCAACAACAATGGAAATTGAAATCGAATGCAACAACAATGGAAATTGAAAGCCAGCCCATGCAGTTGCTCACTTTGAATGGGATTAGTGCAGGAGTTTCAAAAGGGGTACAAGGCCATAGGCCCTACATTTATTTGCCACGAGATGTTTAAATTTCTTAAAGAAAAGGAGCAGGAAGAAATCTCTTTCATGCAGGGACTGTCTTAGGGCGCCGATGAACTCGTACAAAAACATGATGGATTACAGGGTTCATTTGTTTATTGCGAGAATAAATTGGCAAACTTTCATCACTACATGTAGTTTTGAACCCAGTGCATGTGTTTATATATACTATGTACATGTACATGTGGATTCAAACACTAAAATGTCACTTTTGCAATAAACCCAATAATCCTTCATTTTTCTGTGCGACTTCATCTGTGCCTGCATGGAAGAGGGTTTTTTTCTCAATTCTTTTCTTTCAGAATTCTAAACATTGCACGACATGTGCCTCCTGCCTAGTTTAAGTCATATTTGCTATTAATTTAGTACACATTTAACAAAATGGGCGTCTGCAGGGGTGTCACTGGGGGTGGGGTGGGCAAATGTCCCCCGCCCACCCAAAAACAAAATGATCAATTGAGAATATGCTAGAGTGAATACAAGGATTTGGGGGGACAATTAATTTGCCCCCGCTACAAAAAAAAAATCCTGGGTGAGCCAAATGAGTGGCAAATTAAGTGCTTTGCCCAAGGGCACACGCACCACAACCCCAGGGCGAAATAACAAGAACTATTTTATTTTATACACTTCTCTTTTTTTCGCCATAACTGATTGCAATGGTACCTCACCAGTTTAGTTTCAACAGAACGTACAATGTAGCCACGAACCATTCTTTCGTTGGCTCAGAGCAAACTTTTTATTACGCCCTGCAAAAACAAGAAAGCCATAATAAAAACATGTATTTTTAGATGATAAGCATATGTTACATAAACTCAGGGACTCAGAGGCTCTGTCAAATTCCAAATTGAAGTCTACCGACACTGCTTATGTTTTTGAGTAGTCATAATGTGAATAAAAAAAAAGTGGATCACGTCTCCCATATTAGGCAGCTTTTGTTCTGCTTCTATTACTTTGACTTGATGGCTGGCTTTAAAAAAAATTGTCTTCACAAATTAATATTCATGAGTAGAAACGAGGAAGAACAAAAGACAAATGGACAATAATTGCAGCCTCTCATTTCCAACAAGCCTCCTTCTACAGTATCAGATTTAGAGGGGCGGCTGCAATTCCCTCTGCCGTTCAGCAGCTGCCTAATTTTATAAACTATTAAAATGGGACCAAAAAATAACAGAGCAAACTTTTATTATGCCCTGCAAAAACCAAAAAGCCACAAAATACTTTTTTTCTTTTTTTTAGAAAATAAGCATATTTTATTGCTTATGCAGAAAATTATGATTCGTACAGTCTAGCCACGAACCGTTCTTTCGATAATTCAGAATATAATTTTATTACGTCTGTGCAAAGACAAAACAGCCATAATTTTGTGTATTTTTAGATGACAGGCATGTGTTACATTAACTCCAAGGACTTTAGAGGATCCGTCAATCTCCAAATTGAAGTTTGACGGTTTTTATTTTCGGGTAGCCATGTGCAGCACCAGAAATGCGCTTCAAAAGTTAGATTATGTCTTCCATATTATTTGCCGAGTCAGCAACCAACTTCCAATTGAGCAAGCAGTGATCAAACTCCTTTTTGTGCCGTAGTGTGGTTAGGGTTTGTGACTCATGATTAGAGGGTAAGGAGTTCGCATTCAGGTGCTGGTCATTATGTTGTGTCCTAGGGCAGACTTCATCCACACTTGCCTCTCTCCACCCAGGAGTATAAATGGGTGCCGGCATTAGCTGTGGAGTATTACCTGCGATGGACTAGCATCCCATCCAGGGGGAATAGAAATATTCTCTAAAACCGGAGATAAATGCCGGCGCTGCCCATGGCCCAATGGGCCACACTTGCTCCTGACAGACTTTACTATTTAATTACTACTTTTTATCATCAAAAAAGTGGTGGGTAAATGCCCCCATGCCCACCCTCGAAAACGCTTCTTACACCCACATCTGATGACCTCAAGTAGTGATGGTGGTGCTGGCGGTTTGTCCGTTTGTATGGGAAGATTATTATACGGCATTTGGCAAATTTAGGAAACATAGGGACCTAGAAAGGTACCCAGGACTAGCATAATGATGAAATCAATGTAAAAGGACAAATTGTTGTTTAAAGTACCCCAAAAAGCAATGTAGGACGAGAGTTATGGCAAAATCAATATGAAAATCATGGTTTAAGTGGCCATTTTGAATTTATGCAAATTAGGCATATTTCCACCACTTGGATTTTTGGACCTTTTATAGGGGCCTTATAGAAATGCACTGTGGTGTGATATTTATGTATAAATAACTGAACTTGGATTATCAGGAAAATTCAATTGTGACATGTCCACACATGACAGCCATAATTTTAACTTTAATTTATGCAAATTAATATATTGCATTTATGCAAATTATTATACGGCATATGGCAAATTTGGGAAACATGGGGATCTTGAAAGTTACGTAGGAATAGAATAATTATGAAATCAATGTTAACGGACTACAATTGTCGTTTTAAGCACCTGAAAAAACTATCGAGTAAAAGAAATATGACCAAATCAATGTGAAAGTCCTAAAATTTTCGAACATTTTGGATTTATGCAAATTAGGCATATTTCCACCACTTGGATTTTTTTGGACTTTTAGTATGTCATTTAAGGGACCTTATAGAAATGCACTGTGGTGAAAAAAATTTTGTTGCAATTTGTTTGAGGTTCACTCAAAAAATGAAGTATTTGCCTGGACTATTAGGCCGGCGAGGGTGGAGGTCAGAGGTGATGAGAGATTGAGGCCAAGGTGGTCCAGACTTTAGAAACCTCAATGTGGTCAGGTTTTTTTTACTCATGCTCATCACAAAAGGAACCAAAGATGTACCCACAGTGAAGGGTGCACGCCCGCCGGTAAATAGGCCTAAACCCATCCACCGAACTCATGAATGAAAGTTCTACCCTCACAATATTATGTATTTGAGAGTTCTGAGAGCCATACAATTGAGGAATTGAAGAGATATGACAATGAACCTCTGGCCCAGACTGGGGGCTTCCAATTCTGAGCATGTTGAATGCAATTGGGCTCGAAAGTAGCGCTATTGTGCCATGATGTGGGGGATTGTTTTTCAAGATGGCTATTTTTTTTCCGCTTTGGGAACAATAAGGGTCATTTGCTTTGGGTGAGCATTTCTCGAAAAGTCACTGGGCAACCCACCAAAAAATGAAAAGAAAATGAAAGATGACATGTTGATCATCATTTTTCTGTTCAGCTTATATAAATACCTGTAAGAGTTCTTAGTATTTTTAAAAGAATTTTGAAGTATGGGCATTTAGCACTGGTGTCTATGGGAATTGTAATACAGGAGTGCATCCTGAATACGCTTTGTGCAAGCTCTCTTATAAAACAGTGTGATGAGATAGATCATAGACCTAACATGTATATGCGTAGGCCACAAGACCTACACTGATTGTTGAATTGAGGTTGGACTGTTCCTATAGCGATAATGGCACGAGTCTTGCTACAGAGCTGCGCCAGGTATAGCCTCTGTATCTTCAACAGAAGATAACAGACATACAGACGCATCGGAACACAGTCACAGACCAGGACTGCGCTTTTCAGGAACGCCATTTTTTTCTCTCCATAGTATCCGCCAATGGGGTAGCTATACGTGTACTTCAAAAGTCGCGGGAAGATAAATTTCTACAATGATGCCACAATTTGTAGTATAAAGTATGTCTATAGTCACACAATATATAACAATGTTTGAACACGCGTGCCTCCTGTCTGATCCGCTACCAGGTTTGATTGCTAACAACAGACGGATGTTGCATGCTCGACCGCCCTGAAAAAGAAAAAAAAAAAAAAAACAGGTGTATTAGTCCCAACAAAGTTTTTTTGTTTTCTGGTTTCTGGCATGTGCGCGCGTCGCCGTAGCCATGCGCATCTGCAAATGAAAAGTGTATTGTTTTCAATGAAAGATGATGTCTCAAAACCGCCAAACTCACTG